ATTCTGTGAATTTAAGGAATGTATAGGGGAAACTAATCTAATCTTGCTCAGCTGACAAATTTCCTGTCAAGATATTAATGTCAATGTGATATGATGAAGAACATTATTAGTGTTTATATTATTATATCTTATCATCACCAATCATATCAGTGACAATTGATAATGATGTCGATAAATAATGAATAATAATAATAACTGATTACAATGATGATGGCAATGAATAATGAAATTAATATAATGTTAATAAGGACAGTATCTCTGACAGTGATACTTTTATAATAATGTTATAATAATAATCATGATATAAAAATAAGATTATATCAACAAGATACAACAAAAATATTATTGATAATGAAAATTATGATAATAATGACAATGATAATGATAATAATAGTAGAAATAATGATGATGATAAATAAAGTAATAATATTAATGTTAATACTAATATAATAATGGAAATTGTAATCATAATAAGGATAGTAGTGATGATAGATAATGATAATAGCAATAATGAAAGTAGATCGATAAAAAGATAAAATGATGATAAAAATGATAATGATAAAAGATAGTAATCGTAATGACAAGAGTAGCAGCAGTAGAATAGAAAAATTAATCACAATCACATCAATAAGGACTATATTAGTAATTATTATATTCATAATAATCATATTAATAATGATCCAAATAATAGCGATCATATTAATAACACTCACATTAATAATGATTATATCAATGATAATAACAATAACAATAATGATAATCATAACAAAAATTACAATAACAACAATGATGACAATAACAATCATCATCATCATTAATCACCACAATTATCATTTCACACACAAATATAATAATTATCATTCCAAGATAATTGATTGGTCTGTAACCCCCCAATGGCTCCTTGTTTGTATCTGACTTTATAATTATAGGTTTTATAAGTAATTACAGGTATTAGGAGACGGAGTGAAGATTAGCGTAGAAAATGGGGGTTTTCAGGTGATTCTTAGAAGGGGTAACTTAAGAATTTTTTTTTTTTTTTTTGTTATTGGTTTTTTGGTTTTCTATGTTTTTGGTGATTTTTATTGTGATTAACGGTTGGATCGTAATTATTTTTGGTGTAAATGATTGTTATTATTGTAATCAGTATCTTTTCCGGGTAGATAGTGAGAGAACGAGAGAGAAGAGAGAGAGAGAGAGAGAGAGAGAGAGAGAGAGAGAGAGAGAGAGTGTATATATATGTATATATATGTATATATATATATATATATATATATATATATATATATATATATATATATATATATATATATATGTATGTATATATATATATATATATATATATATATATATATATATATATATATATATATATAGAGAGAGAGAGAGAGAGAGAGAGAGAGAGAGAGAGAGAGAGAGAGAGAGAGAGAGAGAGAGAGAGAGAAGAGAGAGAAATAGAGACACAGAGACAGGCAGACGAACACGAAAGAGAATTTGCCAAGCTACCTGTTTCAGCGCACGAACCTCCAATCACAGAACAGAATACCTTTTGCATGTAATCACCCACCACAACCCCCCTTTCCCCCTCCTCCTCTCCCGTCCCCCTCCCCCCATCTCCCCAAACCCCCCCCCCTCCCTCACACCTTTAACACCTTCTTATCCCAATTTCTTAATCCTGTCACATCCGGAATGGCAGACATGAATACAGAAAAATAAGAAACCAAGTTGGTTCATGTCAGAATTCTTGGGTAGCCTCTCCCCCCCTCCCCCTCCCCCTCCCACCATCACCCTCACTCCCCCTCTACCCCCCCTCCCCCCCTACCGAACAGAAGCTCCGCCCTCCCACTACCACTCCCTCTGCCCCCCCCCCGTCACCTCCCCTCTCTCTCTACCTCCCTCCTTCCCTCCCTCCTTCCTTCCTCCTTCCTCTCTCTGCCGCTATATTCTCTCCATTCCGCCTCCGTTATTTTTAGAGATTGAGAACACGCTGGAGTTTGGAATCGAAGAAAAAGAAAAAGGAAAGTGTCTCCCGGGCTGGAGAACGGTTCGCTTGGCGCATGGCGACGCTCTTTTGTTTTGCTTTGTTTTGATTCTTTGAACGCATTTTCTTTTTCTTTTTTTTCTTTTCTTTTTTTTTTCTTTTTTTTTTTTTTTTTTTTTTCTCTTTTTCGCATGCCTTTGAAATCCCTCCCCTCCTTCCTCCTCCTTCTTCCCTCCCTCCCTTCCCTCCCTCCTTCCTTCCCTCCCTCCTTCCTTCCCTCCCTCCTTCCTTCCCTCCCTCCTTCCTTCTCCTTCCCTCCCTCCTTCCTTCCTCCTCCCTCCTTCTTCCCTCCCTCCTTCCTTCCTCCCTCCCTTCCTTCCCTCCTCCCTCCTTCCTTCCTTCCCTCCCTTCCTTCTCCTTCCCTTCCTCCTCCCCTTCCTCCTCTTCCTTCCCTCCCTCCTTCCTTCCTCCCTCCTTCCTTCCCTCCCTCCTTCCTCCCTCCCTCCTTCCTTCCCTCCCTCC